GTGGGGCCTGAACTCTGGGCCTGGGCGCTGTCCCTCAGCTCTTCAGCTCAAGGCTAGTGCTCTACCACTTGAGCCACAGCGCCACTTGTGGCTTTTTTCTTTTTGCTTATGTGGTGCTGAGGAATCTAACCCAGGGCCTCAGGCATGCAAGGCAAGCACTCTACCACTGAGCCACCTTCCCAGCCCTGTCAGTCTGATTTTTGAGAGTCCTCTTTACCCTCACAATAACCCCCCCCAACTCTTGTTTTTTGTTAAAATATAATGAATCTGAGTGGGTTTCTCTTTCTTTCCTTCCTTCCTTCTTTCTTCCTTTCTTTCGTGGCGCGGCTTGAACTCTGGGCCTAGGCACTGTCCCTCAGGTCCTCAGCTCAAGGCGAGTACTCTACTGCTTGAGCTAGAGTGCCACTTCCGGTTTTCTGGTGGTTTATTGAAGAGTCTCACAGACTTTCCTGCCCGGGCTGGCTTTGAACCGTGATCCTCAGATCTCAGCCTCCTAAGTAGGTAGGATTACAGATGTGAGCCACCGGCGCCAGGCTTGGGTTTCTAGTCTTTACATATAATCCTTTACCTAAAATTGAGTCTTTGGATTTCAGAATTTCTTGAAGAAATTGTTATAGACATGACTTTTCATTCTCAGCAGGGTCTGGGCAGACAGAACCCATTAATACAGATTAACATTCCAGGAATCAAGGTATGAATAGTGGTCCTAGTGAGAGAAGACTCTGTATAGTTCCACAATAAATTTTGTGTGTGTGTGTGGTTGTGTGCATGGGCATGAATATGTACCAGTCCTGAGACTTAAACTTAGGACCTGGTCCTGTCAGCTTTTTTTGGCTCAATGCGAGCACTCTGCCACTTGAGTCACAGCTCCTCTTTTGGCTTTCTTGGTAGTGAATTGGAGATTAATCAAGTTTTCTGCTGGGGCTGGCTTCATAATACTAGATCTCTGCTTCCTGAGCTACTAGGATTATAGACATGAGCCACTTTTCTGGATTTCAGAACTGCAGCTAAGCAATTGTGAATGTGTATAAATATTGTGTCACCCCTTTCCATCCCCCAAATCAGGATATAACTAAATCTAGCTTAGGTGTTTGTTACTTTGTACAAAGGATTAAATTCAACAATATATGTGATATAGCAATAATGAAACCCAGTACTCAAGACAGAATGCTCTTTAGGTTGTGTTTTAAATCACAGGAACTGGAAAATAAATATATTCTTATTTTTAAATTTTGTTATTAAACATTACTAGAATAACTTAGAATATATTTAAAATAATTTAACCTTCACATTTCCCTGCAGAGAAAAACCACTAACTTGTATCTTATGTTTGCAACGATATAACATATACTGTGGAATACAATTTTAAGAACTTCTGTGATTCATATAATTAGCTACACATAAAGTCAATGGTATGTACTATTATTCAAATGCATGTAATATAGCATACCTCTGAATTCAGGTGTGAAATGAAGAGTCTGAAGAAGGGAATTGAGGTAACAGGTTCCACCCTGATTTCTGATTCCACTTAAATTGGTGAATTCTCTAGGAGCAGGTGGCTCCAAAGTTTTAGTCTTTAAGTTCTTCCCTTTTCCATAGTGATTATTAGACACACTGGAATAATCCTCTTCAAATAGGTCCCCAAACATTGTGGAATTTTTCTCCTTAAAAAAAATGTTATAGAAATGCTTTTACTTTTAAAACAAGTTTTCCCCACATCTTCCTTACACTTTGGATGATTGGCTTTTGTTAAACTCTTCCTTATAGACAATATGTAGTTCGGAGGCAGTAAGGTTGAGCTTTTTAAGATTTTTACCACGATCTTAGCTCATCTATGTGACCTTGGGTACGTTCCTCAAACTATTTCCCTATAGCTACAACGTGACAGATGCAATGTGGCAATACATGTCTGGCAAAGGAAAGAAAGGCACCTTGTACAGAGTTTGGCCCACAAGAAATCAGAGCCGTTCTTAAAAATGCGTATTCACATTACTCATGAAAAGGATAAAAATCATCAACTACATCCAAGTCAACGGTAGGGGGACAAAACCAATTCTACCGTCTGAGAGGTAACAGAGAATTGGGGCCATCAGTGACTAAAATCTGTGCAACTCACACCCCTCAGTCCCACGTGCCAGATTCTGACACTTCAGTAGATAAAAGAGAGGAATCTTTCCCGCGGTGGTGGCAGCGCGTTGTCCCCAGCTAGGCAGGTGGGCAGGTGATGTCAGTAAAAAAAAAAGTGGGGCTTAAGCCCGGCGCCCCACCCTGGCGCCGGCGTCCGCGCGGAGGCCGCGGGTCCCGGGCCAGGGCTGCCGTCGAGGCTGGCAGGCGAGCCCTGAGCGCCGGGCGCGGGACCTGCGGGACGGACCCGAAGTGATGTTGCTTTCCAACTCGGGGCCGGGGAGAGAAGCACAAGACGTGAACTCCAGAGTCCGGCCTCGAGGCCACACCGAGGACCCCACATCTTTTGTAATCCCCGGCCGGCCGCGGCCTGGTCCGACTCCAGTCCACCCGGCGGCCCGGCGAGGTCGGGGCGGCCCGAGCCCGCGGCCCG